GGGGGGACCAGTGCTGTTCCCCAGGGTACGGGGTGTGGGGGGACCAGTGCTGTTCCCCCGTGGGGCAGGGTGTGGGGGGACTAGTGCTGTTCCCCCGGGGGGCGGGGTGTGGGGGGCAGGAGCAGCCTGTGGGCAGAGGGCCCAGGCTGGGTGCAAGGGCAATTGTTTCCTCTCCCCGGGGTTCACCCCCTTGTTCCTCTCTCGCCCCCTCCCCTTTTTCCTTTCTCCCATGAAGGTTGATCCCCAGACTTGGAAATCCATCCCTCTCGCCCCCCAGGGCCTAACCGGGCAAAACGCACAGAAAGACAGACACAGTCGGGGCGTGGCGGGGGCAGCTCCATGGGCAGCTCCGTGGGCAGCTCTGTGGGCAGCTCCGTGGGCAGCCCCGTGGGCAGGCCCGGGCGGCTGGGAGGCCGGGGAGAGGGGTGGTGTGGACGCAGCTCCAGCCAGTGAGCAGGTCACAACCCGGGCCACCCGGGGAGGGGGACAGGCCTGGGTCGGGGCCACGGACGGGTGTCCGAGCAGGGCACGTCGGAAAGAGGCTTCCGAGGCCTCTGACGCCCGGTGGGGGGCCGGGGAGCTGGGGCGGTCGGGCCTCCTCAGCAGGAGGGGACTGCTGGCCTGGGGCCTTGCCCAGCCCGGCACGTGTCCTCCCAGGCCTGCTGCCCCTGGAGGCACCTGCGGGGGACCTCGTGGCTGGTTGACCCAGTGGCTAACAGCAGCCCGAGTCAGGGTCCCCACACACTGCTGACAGCGTCTGTTCGCCGCCTGCTTCAACATCCTCCTGTGGCGCCAGGGCAGCCAGCGAAAGCATCAGGATTCTATTGCTCTTCCCAGCTCTCCGGTGACCAGGCCAGTGGCTGCGGCTTCACCAGCTGTTGGCCTGGACTCCTGGCCACTAGCCTGAACGGTGGACGTGGCGCGGGACGCCTGGGCACGACCAGCCTCTGCGGCGTGGGGCGAAGCAGTTTGACCCTGAGGCCACTGAGACTGGGCGTGGCACCTGCTCGTAGCTGGGGTCCAGTCTCCCCGCAGTGGCTCTACGCCAGACGGGGTCATGCCGCCAGCCAGGCCCCTCTGGCGCTGTCCCCCAGGTTCCATCGTCTGCATTGCCTGAGTGTCTCCCGTGTCGCGGGCCGTGGCTCAGCCTGGAGGGGAGACAGGTAGTAATGGAGGAGAGAGGGAAACAGGTGTGCTCCCCGGGGCTGCGAGGAAGGCGGGAAGGTAGCACCGGGGACTTGGGGGCTCTTAGGAAGGTCTGAAGGAAGGGAGGAGCAGCGTGAGAAGACCTGGGGCCCCAGCCGCCCAGGGGCAACAGCAGGCGCAAAGTCCCCGTCTGGGGACTGCGACTCAGGGCCCCGGAGCGTGACAGCAGGTGACTCCTGCACTGGGAGGCAGGCTGGAGCTCGTGGGTCGGGGCGAGAGCCCGGAGTTTGGGGACAGGCAGCTGGCAGAAATGAGCCCCGGCTGCACGGGAGCCGGCGGGTGTCTGCACAGGGGAGGCCGTCACGCATCAGCCGTGGGGTGCCCCCAGCCCCCAGAACTGTGGCTCTTCTCAGAGAGGAGCGGGGGGCTGCCTGCAGGACCGGGCGGGCCCAGGCCAGCCGGCGCAGCAAGGCCAGACGTGTCGTTCAGGAGCGTCCCGCGGGCCGCAGGTGGAGACGGGGCCGGCGTGAGGCTTTGGGGACAGTGAACTCAGGGTTGAGGCCGAGTCGGATGGGGAGGCCGCGGGGAGTGGGGGGTGACCCCCAGCTGTCGGTTTGGGTAACCTGGTTGGTTGAGGTTCTGGAGGGGGCGGTCCGCAGCGTGTCTCTCGGCCACCGGAAACCTCGGTTTCCCCGTCTGGAAAGGGGCTTTGATGGCTGTAGGTTGGTTTGGGGCCTGGAGCGCGCTCGGGGGTGCAGGCACGAGGCGGCTGCGGTCCGGGCCGTGGGCTGTGCGGTGGATGCCAGGTGCAGACTGTCCGCAGGGGCCTGCAGGCACCGGTGCACGAGGGCCTCCCACGCCGCTGCCGCGTGTCTCCCCCAGGCCGGCTGCCTCTGCGCCCAAACAGGTGTCTCCTTCAGTAGCCGGTATCCTGGCAGAATTTCCGGGGCTCCTGCTCCGCTGTTTCCGTGTTAACCCTTTCTCCAGCTAAAAGCAGACTCCAGGGGGATCCAGGGACCTTCCGGAGCTTCTGCTCGGGGTCAGCGTCGCTGACTCGGCCAGCCTCTGGGGCCAGGGTCCCCTGGGCGAGGACTGCTTTTCTGCAGCCCTGCCGGGGCCTCAGCGGCCTCCTCTGGGGCTCAGGTCGCTGGGCTGGCAGGAGTCCTGCTGGGAAGGGGCTGTGCCTTGGGGCCGGGCAGCGAGGCCGTGGGCAGGACTGGACACGCAGGGGCTGCTGACTGAGATCCGGGAGGGGCTGTGCTGCGGCGGCCAGAACATCTTGAAGACTTGGGGCCTCTTGGAGCAGGCAGACAGTGCAGGCAGGAGAGTGGGGCATAGCCTGGGGTGCAGAAAGCCCCGGGCCAGGACCCCGGGGCGGCTCTGCTGGCCGTGGTGGCCCAGCCTTTACCAGGTGTCCGGCGCCCCCCCCGCCCGCGCCCTCGGGCTGTGCCCACAAGCTGCGCTGGCCCTGGGGCCAGGGCCCTGGAGAAGGCCAGCAGTTCCGGCCCGTGGGGGGCCCGGGGGCTCGGGGCCAGCGCCTCCGGCACCCAGCGTCGTCGACAGCCCAGTGGAGGTGACGTGAGCCTGGAGCCACGCCGGCCCCCGCCGGCGCCCGCAGAACAGTGAGGCAGGCTGCGGGCCGGAGCCCGGCTGGGCCGCACCAGTCCTGTCCAGGGGCCGGCTCTCCGCCCCCGGTGGGGCCTGGCGGCTGGCGTGGCCAGGTCACTCTGCCTGTCTAAGAGAGCAGGATGTGAGCAGGCTGCGAGCCGTCCAGGCGCCCCCGCGCTGCCACCCAGCTGTGTGCCCAGAGGTGCAGCGAGCTGCAAGGGAGCCCCCGAGCCCCTCGAGGGCTGGCAGGTGCTAGAGACGCCCCGGGGTGTGCGGGACCCCCCCACCCCACTGGGGCCCTGGGCTCCCATCCAGCTCTGCCGGTTCCCAGCTGGGTGATCCTGGGCAGGAGCCTCAAGTGTCCTCTCCTGCCAGGGGTTGAAGGACACAGGGGCTGTGAGGGGGCAGCTGTGGGCCTCGGCGTCCCGGGCGCTGGGACACGTGAGACGGGCAACATGGAGCCACGGCGGCCCCGGAGCACGCGGGTCTCCGCACTGCAGGAGCGGTTCTCGCAGGCCTTGGGATGAGTCGGCGCTTCAGGGGACCCTCGACGCCCCGTCGTGGCCGAGTGGCCAGCCCGGGAGGCCGCAGACAGCTGTCTCTTCTGTTTGCTTTTCTGTCCAGAGATATGTTTTATTGTTTTTTAAAAAGATTCTGTTTATTCACGCACACAGAACTGGGTGCAGGCCCGGGGTGCAGGGGAGGTGAGGGCCTTCACCAGAGACAGAGCGGGAGCCGGACAGGCAGGTCGCGGAAGCCCACTGCTGAGAGGCGCAGCGCGGTCAGGAGCGCTCTGCCCGCCCTGTGGGTCCCCTCCACTCCCGGGGGGGGATCGCACTCGCACTGAGGCGGCTGCACCAGCTTGCAGCGCTGCACCCCAGCCCACTGCCCACCGGGGCGGGGCGGGGCCCCTTCCAGAATCCCTCTAAGGCTTGCGGCTCCCCGCCTGCTGGCCTTCCCAGCAGCCGCGCCCCCGTGGCGTCGGCGACTCCCGTCCAGTATCTACACAACCCGGCTTGCGTCGGCTGCTGCCCGTTCGTTCCCTCTGTGGGCCGGGGGGACTTGCCGTTGAGAATGACAGCTCAGACCCTGAGGCCGTGCTGACCGGCCGGGGTGCACCAGCTCCCCCCGCTCCTGCGCCGGCCCGCACCCCCTCAGATTCCTGAGAGCAGGCGTGGGCTCTCGCCCGGGCCACACCTCCCCGTGGCAGCAGAAGGGCCACGCTCGCCCTGGCTGCCAGCGTGCTCGTGGAACCCGGCTCGTCCCAGAGGGAGAGGATGTGGCCCAGCAGCACGGCCTGACTCGCCCGGGGGCAGCGTCGGCTGTGCCAGGCGGCGCCACGGAACAGCTCAGTGGCCCCGTCCCTCGCCGGGACTTGCCCCGTGCGAATGGCACCCCCGATAGAGCACCTCGTCCTTTTGTCATTCCAGAAACCGTCTGCAGCGGCACGCCCCGCGTTCGAGCTGCCCACCCTGTACAGGACCGAGGACTACTTCCCCGTGGACGCCGGGGAGGCCACACCCCGGACCCCCGGCTGCCAGGGGCACCAGTGAGCTGCAGGCGACCGGAAAGCGGAACTCCGTGGACACGCGGCTTGGGGTTTTCCTCGTGTTTTGTTGTTGTCGTCCATCTGTTTGCTGAATTTCCTCCCCTGCTTCACGTGAGACACAGGGACGGAGCAGTTGAACCCACATGTGAGGGTCAGGAGAGGGCTCCCCTGCGCGGTGGGCTCCCCGAGGTTCTGGGCCTCAGATTCCCTTGCGCTCTGGGAAGGGCTTTGCTGGAGTCAAGGGGTCACTCAGTGCCGCCAAGGGCAGGGCCCAGGTCCCTTGGTCTCGGGTGGTCAGTGCCCCCCGGTGCCCGCAAACCCACCAATAAAGGTGTCAAGAGTGGCCCGTTGTCTGCGTGTAAGAACAGGGGACTGGCGGTTTCTCTTGACCATTGGGTGTTTCCTGGAAGGGAGGGGACTTCTCTGCTTTGCACCTGAGCCTCAGAATCCGCCCTTCCTAGAGCCCCCACCTGGTGGGGTGGGGCGCACAGCTCTGGCCTTGGCATCCCAGCAAGTAGGCAGAGGTCAGTAGGGCTCCAGGTCACTGGGATTCCAGGTCACGAGGATCCCGGGTCACGAGGATTCCCAGGGCCTTGTGTCTTCTCAGGCTGGTGACTTTCTGCTACTCTCCGCTACCTCTGGACCTCCCACTTTGGTGATGGATACTGCTGGTTTTCTAGAATTCCTCGCAGAGCCAAGAACATGCATGCACAGCTGACCCGCCCAAGTGACTTCGGGGAGCAGCCGAGAACATTGGGAGCAAAGTCAGGTCTTGCCCCTTTCAGAGTGATGTTTACAACGGAAAGATGCAGGTGGCCCCTGGTGTCACGAGGTGCCGGCACTTTTCTGGGAGATATGTCTTGTAAACTTCCATCGAACCGTCAGTTACTCAGGGGGGGGGGGGGACACACCTGAGCACAGATTTTCAGGTCACTGAATTCCCACAAATCGTAGTTGGACCTTGATCCAGCGGGGAGCAAGCAGCGGTAGCCCCCGGAAGTCCCGTCCAGCCAGCGTCCGGCACCAGCCGACAGCCAACAGGCTCTGGACTCTGCTGGCCCTTCGCTTCATGCCAGGCTGGCGGGCGCACGGTGTGCTGGCCTGGCCGTGCGGCCCGTGACCCGGGACGCGCCCTGTGCTGCGTGGAGCTGCAGATTGTTCATCCTCGCGGCTGCGCCCGGTCACTGGGCTGTTTCTAACGAGGGAAGCTTAGATGCCGTCGACCTTTCAGATACGTGGTGAGGACATCGGATTCGGGACGATGAGCGTGCATGTGTGTCAGTTGCTGGAACCTTCCAGAGTGTGACCCCTGGGCCACGTGATAGCAAGCCACAACTTTAGGGTCCTAAAAAGGAGACCCGAGAACCACGGCTGTGTGGACAGCCTGCCTGGGTCGCTCCGTCATCCCCTGCACCTCTCTGCTGTGTGATCCTGGGCTAAGTGCTTGCCCTCTCTGGGCCCAGCTTCCTCTGCATCAAGTTACAGAGGATAGTGGCACCTACCTGTTCATTGTTGTGAGGATGTGCAGGTGGCCGGTGTGAGCATGTGGGTCTTGTGGTGACCGGCTGTGGGGGTGCCCTATGTTCTGAGCTTCTCGAATGACCAGGGGTGTCCAGGAGCTTCAACAGTGAGGGCCCCAGGGACCTTTGAGAGGCAGAATTCCTACGAGAGTGAGAGCTCCCCAAGTGCGCCTGGCTCTCAGGGTTTGCCTGCCCGCGGGTTCTTTTAGGAACACTAGGAAGCACCTCTGGGTGAAGGACAAGCCACGACACTGCTGACCTCGCCTTTCTTTCTGGCGGCCGGCACCAGGGAGGCGCTGTCCTTGTGCTTGCTGATTCTGTGGGCGACCCCTTTAAAACTGGCCCCCGCCAGCCTCCTACCTCCGTGGCCTGCCACGGGGATCGTGGGCAGCAGGGGACGCCAGCTCTGTCTCTGTGGCTCCTGTGGCGCTGGGCTCCGGCGGCAAGGTCATTGGCCAGTTTTCCTACGAGAAGGCTCCCCGCCCGCCCCCTCCCACTGCACGGCGGTGTGAGCCTCACGTCCGCCGCCCCCGACCCTCAGCAAGCGGGGGCCCAGTGGGTGATCCGACCCTTGACCTGGCGGCAGAAATGTGTGGTTTGCCCTGAACTGTTTCTGTGTGAGACAACTGGGTGAGCATCTGGAAAAAATAAAGTGAGCTCCGTGCCTCACTCTGTACACTAGAGCAGTTCCAAAATTCCAGCTGGATTAGGACTTAAATGTATTAAATTAATTTATAGGAGGAGGCAAAAATATTGGGTAACCACACGGAATCCAGGAGCCATGAAAGTGTATAATACATTTGATTACAGAGAGATTTTATTTTAATCCTCTGCATGCAAAAACAAACAGCAGACTTAACCCTTCAACACCCCAAAATAAAGCAACAGAATTCCTAAGCAAATTCGAAAGACAAATGACAAAACGTATTTGTAGCTCTTGTTCCAAAGGCACAATCGTCCTCGTATAGAAACAGCTCCTGCCACGAATAAGGAAAAGTATAGGAGGGCCCTCCCTGGTGGCGCAGGGGCTAAGAGCGACCCACAGGGCGCGTCAGCCCTCTCCTGTCTCCCCGCTGCTCCCCTCAGCAGTGGACTTTGTCAAGCTGCCTGTTCTGCTCCCCACTCTGTCTCCTGTGAACCCTCTCACTGCTCCCCACCCCCCACCTCTGGCCCAGATCCTGGTTCTTGAGTCCATAAATAAAAAGTCTAGGAAAAGGAGCAACAGATAGGAACGTGCATTTCGCAGAACAGAAAATCGAAGGATTTAAAACAGGGAAAAAATTGTCAACCTCAGTCGACACCATCAACCTGAAAGGACAGTGAAATGACTATTTTCTATTATCTGGTAAAAGTGAAAATCTGGGCCCTCCCTGGTGGCGCAGCGGGTTAAAGCACAGCACTGAGAAGCTAAAGCCGCTTCCACATGACTTCGATTCCCGCCTGCCCCGGAGGTGACCACATGGAGAGGCAGACCTCTCCTGACCCGCCCGCTGCTCCCCTCAGCAGTGGACTTCGTCCATCTGCCTGTTCTGTTCCCTGCTCCGTCTCTGGTGAAGCCTCTCACCACCCCTGAGCCTCTGGCTGTACCCCAGTTCTGTCTGCACAAATAAATCTTAAAAAAAAAAAAAAAGTGAAAATCTGTGGAACTGTGAGGAGACGTGCCTTCCGATGGAGGGACAGCGTGCCGAGGGGCGCCCGAGGGCAGCCGGACACTGGCCTGGCTATACCCTTGGGCCAGTAACGGCACCTGGACCCCGGCTATAGGCACAAAAGAGGTGACCCGTGCCAAGGGCTGTTCACCACGCACTGCGGGAGCCACAGGAAAGAACCTGTGTCCGGCAGGACCGGGCTTGGGTCCATCACCGGGATGCCCGTGGGGGAAATCTCTGCGCTTGTGAAGATGACTTCTTCCTGAGTTGGCATGAGGATGACGTGAAAGCCGAGGTGCAGAACAGTGCACCTGGTGGCCCCGTCCGCGTGAAGGACGTCGGAGCCTCGGGGTGGGCGAACCAGCTTCTGGGGCGCAGGGGGACCTGCTGGGAGTAGGAGGTCGGCGTTTTCCTGTTTACTTGTTCCAAAAATGTGATTCAAATCGGTAGCCAGCAAGTACAGATGGGGACAGTCCACACCAACTGGACTTCCCGTTCCTTTTTAAATGGGAGCAGCTGGTGGCACTGGGCATGCGCTCTGCGAGCGGGCAAGGAGCTGAAGCTGGTGCTTCGGGGGCCCGGGCAGGCTTCTCTCCCACCCGATTTCACGGACTCCTCTGAGCTGTGGGCGCCTGTGGGTCTCTGCACTGGAGGCCCTTAGACCGTGAGGTGCTGATTGCGCAGGCTGGGGCACGTGGGGAGGGGTGGCCGGGGGTGCCAGGTCACCATCAGGGCATCTCTGTGCCCCACCCTCCTGCTCCAGAATCCCTGGGGGCACGGGGCGGGCCGGGGGTGCTCACTGTAGAAGTGTGTGCTTCCCACGACTGTTTCACAGGTGCCTGATACTGAGTTAGAAAATAATCACGAGGGAGGCCACTGTCCCTCCTGAGCAGAGAAGCCCACGTGCCCGGTCCAGTATTGCCAGACCGAGCCCAGCAACCTTCAGAAAGGCTTGCACACCCCAAGCGGGGCTGTCCCCGGAATGCACGCTGGTTTGCGCCTGGAAATCCACGCTGCTACTTTAAAGCCTTTTTCTTTCGTCTGATTGTGGAGTGATTGACAAGTAACGCGCCTAGTAAAGGACAAGACCGAGGCGGTCATCTCAATAGATGCCGAAAGGGCGCTGGACCGGCCACATCCGGCCTGGGTGGGAAGGTGAAGCCGGCGGACCCGCAGGCAGCACCTGTCTGCCCACAGGGCCCACACCTGGGAGGGGCCCGGGGCGCCGGCGGAGGCGCGGCGCCTTCCTCCCCATGAAGAGTGAACTTCCAGGTGCCCTGTGGCCAGGAGCACCGCCCGTTTGGGCCTCGAAGCGCTGGACGCGGTGCTGACCGCCGCCCCGCCGGAGTCTGGGCAGTCGTAAAGCTGCTGGCCAGCTGGAGGCACTTAGGCCCTCGCGGGGGCGGGCCCTGGGCGGCTACCCGGGCCCCGCGGAGAGGCCTGCGGGGCGGCGGGCGGCCGCGGCAGGGTCCGCAGGGAGCAGCCCGCGGGAGCTGGGCCTCTCGCTGGCCTCCCAGGGCCCGGGCGAGCGCCCCCAGCACCTCTCGCGGGGAGCCACGACCGAGGCGGAGGAGGCGCGGAGCCGACGAACAAGGTTTGTGTCTTTCTTGCTTCGCATCGCCACCCCCAGAGTGCGGCCCCTGAGGGAGGGCGGCTGCTCCCTCAGGGCCGGGGTCCCCCACTTGCGCGGTGAGCGAGGGGACGGGCGCGCACCGTCTTCTAAGTGGCGTGGGGAAACAGCGAGCGGGCAGTGTGTCCCGCGGAGGCAGCGAGGCGCTCGGTGGCGACCGGGCCGGCGGCAGAGGCGCGCGAGGCCTCGTCCCCCCGGGGAAGAGTCTCTTCCACAAGAGCCGTGTCAACCTTGGGCGCTCTGGGGGTCCTGGCGGCCGCGGACTCCCCCCGGGCGGCCGTGCTCTCGGCCAGCGCGGCTCTCGCGTCCAGCCGAGACTCCTGTGGGGAATGTGGCCTCCGCCTCAGGCCTGCCCCCGCGCCGTGTGTGGAATGGGGTTCGATGGTTTGGGGCGGGGGTGGAGTGCTCCCATCCAGCTCCAGAGGTGGGTGCTGGCCCAGCTAAGCCAGCCAGGCAACCCCAGCCCACCGCGGCTCCCCCGGACGCCTGTCGGAGCCCACCGGCCACAGAAGCTGGCTCTGGAGCGGCCCATGGGCCCTGCGTCCGGCATTTCTGCTCAGTGGTGACGGAGGGAAAAGCCTTTCTCAGAGAAGGTGACCAGAAGCAGCTGTGGAGTGGCAGGGAGGATGGCGCTGGGCTCCCAGACGCCGGCTGCGAGGCCACCTGCGTTAGTGAGAGGTCAGTGGAGGGGCCACGCTCAGGTGAGGGGTTGGGGCAAGGCTTCGCCGCGGGAAGCCCAGGGAGGCCGAGCCCACGCGGGGTGTGCGGTTGTGCCCGGACTGCGCGCTGGGTAACGGAGTTCCCGGAGCCCATTTCGGCCCCCGATTCTCTCAGCCTTGCTGGGCCGAGGAGAAATTTTCGTGCCCTCCTGGTTTGCCACCTTCGGGAGCAGCGGCCAGAGGCTCACGGCCGCAGCACACCCGCCTGTTGTCTTGTGTGGATCCTAGCGGTCCCTTCCTTAACGGCCAGTTAGGCTGGGTTTCCTCTTCGAAAGGGACGTTGAAGCGTGCCGAGCACATCAGGCAGAGGGCAGTGGGCGGGTGTGGTGAGGCCCGAAGCAGTGATGGTGTGCCCGCCGCGAGGCTGTGCCGGGGAAGGTGGGGTGCGCTTCACAGACCCGGCTCGCGTGGCTTTGGTTGAAGCGGGGAACTTAGTGGCCAGGCGGGTGTTGGGCCAAGATCAGGACGGCCTGGTGTGGTCGGACCCCAGGGACTCAGCTGTCCTGGGTCGGCGTGGGCATCGCCCCCTGCCCACCAGGATCGTAAGGCCCTTAGTTTCTGGGAACCTTCGCCATCCGAACCCTGGAGCTAACTTATCCCTTCCAGAACTGTTCTGGGGAGACTGTTGTGCTCTTAGGCTCTCGTGCCCCACCGCAGTCCCAGGAGCAGCACGCGAGGGGCTCGGTGCCGTGTCCTGAGGCTGAGCCTGGGTGCGCTTACAAGAGCGTCAGACTCCTAGGACATGCGCACTCAAGCCCTGGCCTGCAGCCCCAGCCGCGGAGGCCGGGAGTGAGCCGGGCTTCTCCAGGCCCCTCGCCCCAGCAGCACCGAGTGGCTGTGCTAGCTGACCCACCACTGGCAGGCGTCGGCCCGGGGCAGGGTCTTGTCTGCAATTCCTGGACTCCCAGGGGCGGCCCTGCTCATACAGCTGTCCGCCTTCGCGTCTAGATGGCAGCCAGGAGCACGCACACATACGCACACGGCCGGAGGCCTTTTTTTCCCTACTGTCTTGCTTTCTGAGTTGACATTTTAAAAATACCACTTTGTTTCACTTATGACAAAAACGCATGGCCAGATTTTGATTGCCAAACCAATTCAGGTTGAATGGATTACGCCTAAGTAGGGGGCGGGAGCGGGGCGTGGGGCGCTGGCTGGCGGCAGGGAGGCGGCAAGCACAGCCCTTCCACACGGCGTGTAATTAGTGCACGTGTCCTTTACCCGGTGCAGTCTGTTCTGGAAACGAGTGGGCCTTGGGCTTTCCTCCTCATAGGTGGAGCACTTGGGGGTCATGACCTAAGGGTTTTCAGGATTTGCCACTTTTACTTCCATGCTGATTTCTGTACACAGCTGAATTGCAGCTCTGCCACAGCCGAGCTGTGTGAAAGCTCAACCTGTTGTTTCGTCAGTGAAACAGACAGGATGCAGTGAAGACCCAACAGGGACCTATCTTCAAGCTAGTGGTTGGCAGAAAACGCGTCTCCTAACTCGACTGTCACAGCCGCTTTTTAGGTCCCCTCATGTGGCCAGTGTCTGGTGAGCTGGACGCCACTTCAGGATGGGGCACCTCGTCCTTTAGCCTCTCTCCTGGGGGCCGGGAAATTTGCGATGTTCCCATTTGACAAGTCTAGTGAGACGGGCCTGCCAGCTGGTGCCAACCCAGTGAAAACCAGGCTTCAGAAAGGATCCATGGGCGGCAAGAGGCTGCCTGGGGCCAGGGGCACCCACGTAGTCAGGGTGTCCTGTTCTGAGACTTCCGGCCAAGGTCTGAGGGGGTCCAAGCTTTGATAGTGCCTCCTACCTGGCACTTTTTGTTGTCATAATCTTCCTGTTGACTTTTTGCTGACATTTCCTATCTGCACGCTTACAGATGGGCAGGCTTTTGGGTCAGACATGGTTTTTGACAGGCAGAAGGTGCAGACTATTTCCTGTTTGGCTCTTCGGAGGGGTTGGGCACATTTGAAGAGATGCTGCGTTTCAGTGACAGGGGAACAAAGTGGACAATAAAATACCTCCAGGGACAGAGTAGCTCGTGGACTCGGGCACTCCAAGCCACGTGGCAAGGCGGAGGGCAACCCAAGTTCTGTGGGACACTTGTCCTTGTTCGAGTCTACAGGACAACTGTCTGGTGACATCTTAATTAAAAGGTGGCAGAGAGCTAAGCTTTACTTCCACAGAATTCCAAAAGTAAACAACAGCAACAACATTCTTTAAAAATGGCTTTTATTGAGACACTGTTAGGGCTTCTGCAACATTTCCAGTTGGGAATCTTCTTTTCCATTGGTAGGTGGCTCAACTTTTTCCAGAACGCCAGTCAGCAGCCCACTCCCACCACCTAGTCAGGAAACATCTGTCTGAGCCAACGTCCAGCCCAGAACATGCCCCAGGCTGCTCTTCCCACCTGCAAATTAATATCCAAACAAATGAGCGACGGCTCCCGCCAGTTGTGTGACTCTCAGGCAAGACGGGCTGACTTCTTCAGTGGCAGTTTGTCGCCTTGGTCATCAGTGTCATCTTAATTTGCAGACGCCGTCTGTCCTAAATACTAGCTGCTGCCAATGGGATTTATGGTCTACTTGCATGTAGACTTAAAATAGTTCCATGCCAGTTCCAGATATCCTAAAATTCCTAGCCTAGCACTTTTCTCTGGTATTCCTTCAGTAGCATGGCATTTTAAGGGAAGGTAGGTCAAATCAATACCCTCTGGTAACGAAAACATTACCAAGACAAGTCTTTGGGAAATTTTTCCAGGTTATGGAAACCAGCCACGTGGGAACTCTAAGCCAGTCAGTATCCCTGTGGTGACTGAGCGGACCGCCCGCTTCGCCACCTGGAGCCCCATCATTGTAATGCCAAAGCATCGCCCTACTTCTGCCTCCTTGTAACCTTCCATTCTGTAGGAGGAGCGGAGCCGCTCCTGGGACTCTGTAAACAGCAACACACCAGCCAGCCCCTCTCACCTGGCCTAGCCAGCCCTCCAGACGCAAGATCTCAGAGCGCTCTCAACAGCAAGATGGCCCAGAGTTCTAACAGAAGCAGAGGAGTTGCCCGTCTAGTACAATTGTTCCCATTGTAAGGTGAAAACTAACATTTACTTGTTTTAGAAAAAACACCAGTCATTAAGACTTGCTTGCAAATTAATGCCAATTTATGTTTTACATCCTGTATCACTGAGACATTTACACATATAAGCAAGCTCCTGCTCCTTAACAAAAGGGGAACTGAGAACTCAAGGATGTTTATTTTTGCAACTAAAAAAGGCAAACAAAACAAAACCAAAGGAATCTGTAACAGGTGCCTTGAGAACAAAGCCTGTATGCCAAAGGCAGCTCCTGGCTGTCCAGTCGCCCCAGGGCTGCGGCTCCCAGCCCCGACAGAGCGAGCGCCCGGGCACTCGCAGCCCAAGACCTGGGCACACAGGCCTGTCATGTGTAATAAAGCAATATTTACATTAAGCACAGTACAGCAATTTATTTAGATGCTTAAATGAATACAAAGGGAAATAAAGGTCACAAAATTATACATACTACAACAGTGTGTCATATATTAGATGGTATAAATGAATACACCTGGTGGTGCTGAACTAAAGAGAAAACTAAATATCCAAAAATGCAGCAGTCAATGGTTTGCTGCTTCAACACAACACACTTTCATACAGATCTAAAAGGTGTCAAAATTAGTAGCTGGAAAGTCAATTCTTGCATGTGATTTTAAGCTTAAAAGATTTCAGAAAACAGATCTGAAACACCAGTTTTTGTTTTTCTCAGCTGTCATGTCAAGGATATTCAGAACAAGAAAATTTCTATAATACAAGAGAGTCCAGATATATATCTTATGTGGCTGGCCTCTGCTGCAAGATTGTACAAGGTTATGTGCAAAAAACTAAGTCTGTTCGAAAGTCCATACTAGCGCAGTTTCGAGCTTTTGCTAGGTCAACTAGATAGAGCGTTATCACACAGCAAGGGCGACACTAAAAAAGAACCAAACCTACGGCGGGTACGCAGAAACAGTATCATAAGCATCACTGAGTAGGTCTAAAAGACTGTACAAATATACATTTCAACTATTCAGAATGAATACATGAAAAAAAATTGGTTTTCCCAAAGTCTACTATACACACTGGGCTGGTAGCTGGTACGCTGGCCCTATACTACCTGTGAGTGAGGACAACGCTTCTCAAGGACACCCCAAACATGTACAGGGGGGAAGAAGTGTTGAAAGGCAGGTAAGAGAAGCCTCTGCTTTTCCTCGTGTGCGTTCGTGGCCACCAGCCTGTTGGTTTTTCACATTTAGTTACTGTAGCCGTCACAGCAATTTCTGAAGCAAGATCGGCCACTCACGTCAGTCAGAAACACCACAGGGACTGCAGTGGCCGCGCGTCCCCACAGCCCGGCGAGCCGGCGCCGAAGGCAGCGCCAGGTGGAACACGGCTTCGCAGTCACACTGTCACCGGCCCGGGGAGCCTGGCACTCATGCCTGCTGGCTGCTCAGTTTGACGCCAGCCAAGCTGCCGTGCATGGGCTCGGCCACCCCGTCAGTCATGTTGTCGAACTGCTCCCCATCCTCACTGTCAATTGTGCTATTCTGCCACTCAATCTGCGGGCTGGATAAGCGCTCATCATTTTCAGATGCATTCTTCCACTGCGACTGGTCCTTGGACCAAAACCCTTCCACTTTTCCATAGGAACTATTCTTCCATTTCAACTGCTCTCTGTCACCTTGCACGGTCGCCTTTTTTTTGGCAGCTGGCTTACTGCTCCTTGCATCTTCACTCTGGGAAGACTCATCGGACCAGGTACCTGGTTTCATCTCGCAGGCGTTATCCTCCAAGTCCGACACTTGTTGGGAACCTGGCCCGCTCTCCGATGGAGAAGCACCGTCTTTCCACTCAACCACCTCATCTTGGTCACCCTCGCTGTCAGAAGCATCACGCATTAACTTGGCTGGTTCCTCAGTCAAATGAATAGTCTCATATTTTGAACCATCCTCCTCTTTTTGGTCTAGCTTCTCCTCGGGTTCTAACACATCCTCAGAAATAACTTTCGGTATGTGTTCCTCTGGGTTGTTAGGGATTTTAGGCTCAACTTCAAAAACAGGGTCAAAAGGGCTACCACTTCCATTGGAGTCTTCATCCAAGTTTTCAAAACTATCTGAGGAACTGTCATCTTCTTTCCCAAGGTTGAGCTTTTTGTCAGCAGTTTTACTAGCATTGACTCTGGAATCCTTTTCATCATGATTTTCAAAGAGCCACTCAGCATCAAAATCCATCTCATGCTTAACTTTGTTTAATTCTTTCATGTTGAAGCCCAGCAACACGCCAGGCTTATACTTTTCACAGTCTCGGACACACTTCTTCCTCTTATTACTGAAGTGGGAAGCAATGTCACTCTTCCACAACCATAAACTGGCAGCGAGCTTCTCAATTTCTCTCCTGGTGGGATAGGGCTGTTTGTTGAAATACTTGGTTAGGAAGCTTTTCCTGGCTTCATAGGAATCATCTTCATGACCCTTGGGGTCTAAAGCTAAAACAACAGGCTCCTCGGGCTTCTCTTCAAAGAAGCTAGGCGAATCACTATCGTCATCTAACTTTCGCTTCTTCAGCAAGGGAAATTCCATTTGCTCATAAGTGCGTTTCACAGGTGCGAGGCCCGGTGACTGATTAAGCCGAGAGGGTGCATTTGTCTTATCCTGGCCATTCTGGGTCTTTCCAACACCCCTGCAGTGAACTAGATGAAGAGTGATAGTCGAGGCAGTCATGTTGCTGGTGTACACACCGAGGCAATGGATACATTTGTAGGTTAGCTTTTTCTCCACGGGATGAACCGTCTGAATAACCTGGTGCCTCTCTCGTAAGTGATGTGCAAGTGCGTCAGAGATGGGTCCTTTTAGGATGGAAAAGCAAAGTGGGCAAAGGGTTTTTCCAACATCTTTTTTATAGGGCACTGCAGCTTGAGGTGAACTTTTAACAGGGATATCTGCCTTTTCCTGAACTTTTGGCTGTGGCTTTGGAGGGACTGGAGGGTTGTTTTGGGCATGGTAAGCAACAGATTCAGCGGGGGCATCCCTCAGGTTGTATGTGGTTACAAGGAGGTGGATGTTAGTGTGACTGCCCTGCTGCAATGTCAAATCAAAACTCAAAGTGGAATCTGTTTTGGGGCCCATCTCTTCATCAATGTGCACCATCCGCATGTGCGCCGCCATCTTCTCCACGTCGTTGAAGGTAGAACGGCAGTATGGACAAGACAGACCGTGAATTAACATATGGTTGAGCAAGGTGTCTGTGGGCAAGTATCGATTACAGTAGAGGCATTTGCTAGTAAAATTGTGTATTTTCATAATGTAGTTGGCTACAGCTGGGACCTTCTCAGCCTTATGCTCCTTTTCGAAGTGCACGCTATAGACGTTTTCAGGAAAAAGCTCATTACAGATTGTACATATTTTCCACTTCTGAGTTGAGGATGTATTGGCGGGGGGAGGGCCAGTGGCCGCTGCAGTTGGTTTAGAACTGGACTGACCTAATACTCTGGATGTCTGTGACTGGGAGAGGGAAGGAGACTTTAACTGGCTGGAAGAGAGAGAAGAAGCATTAGCAGACTGTAGAGAGTATCTGGCAGGTGTCTGGGATCTCTGCTCTGACCCAAGCCCGTAAGATCTTCCATTTCCACTTGGAAGTAACTGCTTCACAGATTGGGACTGCTGAGGGATGGAAACTGGTGCATTGCCACCGAGACCCAATCTCATGGACTGGCCAACACCATAGCCCTGACCTACTGATTTGACACCATAGTTGTTCTGCTGCAGGTGGACATTGGACATCATGTTGACTCCTGTAGAATTTAAGTTAGGCTTTGGTATGGAGAGTCGATTCACCATCTGCTGTGATGGCAAAGACCGGACATTTCCAGAAGCAAGGGAACCAATTCTTGATTGGAGTCCCATGCCCTTCTTCTCTTGAGGTTTGGGCGCAATAAGCATCAGAGGTTTGGAGCGGGGAACCACCACATTTGTGTGCCCAATCATGGCAGTGACCTGATAGCCTATGCGTTCGTGGTCTTCGATGACATGCTGAACCAAAGCTTCGTAGGACTTTGGCATGAAAAGGCATCGCTTGCAGTGAATACTACCCTCTTCCCGGGCATTTGAACCTAAGGGGACTGCACCGTTAAGTGATTTTTCACCTGCCTTTGCTATGTAAGGTGCTGCCACATGCTGAAAGTGTTCCCTGTAAATGTGCTTCCTAACTATTTCATACAGAGGGTCTCGGTAAGTGCACTTCTTACAGTAATAAACAGCTTGCTCCACACTGTCAGCCTGCTTAGGTTTAAGGCCATCATTTTTGCTTTTATCTTTGAAAGTGCTGAGGCTGCTACTTGGTGTGCTGGCGTTTGGAGCATGAAATATTTTAATGTGTGTTTCCAAAGTCTTTTTGTCTGCGTTGAAGGTACAGTAGGGGCAATTAAGGAGAATCCTATTTTCAAAGTCTTCACTATGGACATTCCGGAAATGACTTTTGTAGGCAGAGAAGAATTTTGACGAGAATGGGCAAGCACTGCAGCAAAACGGTTTTGTCCGATAATCCTAAAAGGAAAGACAAAAACTGGGGTCAGAATGCCACTTTGACTAGGCAGTGGACTTTAGGTTTCCTTCCCGGATAGTCTATGCTTTCAATAGAGACACAACGCTATTTTTAGAACTGAAACACCAACGCATTTATATGGATGCATGTTTTTTCCCTTTGCAAAATAAATTTATGAATTAAAACTCAGTTGAGAGAAAACACTTTTAAACTAAATAACACTCTCTGCTCCCATGAGCTGAATAAAAGACAATTCTAAGTTCTTCTTTAATGTTTGTGGAAGACAAGAGTTCTACCTGGTAATTGATTTTAGACACACCAAAGATAACAAGATAAATACTTTACAGTTAGACATGACAAGAATAAACTAAGCAATTTCACTTAGCGAACCAGGAGACGGCTAAAGGCTTCAGTTTAAATGCTGGTAAAATTCAGGGTCCAGAGGGCTATAATACAATTAAAGCAGTAAGGTAATCTTGCTATCCCACCATGGAAACATTTTCATAGAAAAAAGGCTCGTGTTCCAAAAATCTCAGACCTTTTTTTCTTTTGAACTGCATTGTAGTAATTGAGATTTCACTGTTGATCAAAAAGGACTGATTTGTAAAGTGGGCCTTCTTCTATAAACCATGCCTTTCAAGCAAGATGAGTTTCTAAAGAAACAATGACGTGACAGGGGCCTGCCTCCCTAGTGGCAAGGGGTTAAGTCTCAACACTATGAAGCTATCCGCAGTCTCCGCAGCATGAGTCTGATCCCCTCTCAAGTCTCCCCGCTGCTCCCCTCAGCAGTGTCTTTCAGTAGATCCACCTGTTCTGCTCCCCACTGTCTCTGGTGAATCCGCTCACCTCCCCATACCTCTGGCCTATACCCCAGTTCTTGTATGCATAAATTCATAAAAATAAATATTTAAGGTCCCAAATTTTGCTCATTAACATTTGTACACAGTCCTTTCATGAATACAAGTGAAACACAAGCTTTGTGAAGGACTCCTTTCTCCTTAAAATCTACTTTGTTCAGATATTGGTTTGAAACAAGAGGAAATATTCTGCTTTTCCTGAAACTCAACCCCTCTTTAGTGTCAAAACTCTGGGATTTAAAACTGTGAATTAACTGAATGATGGACTCTGTTATGAATTTTTTGAATATGGGATATTTGTGTGCAGAACCTTTTTCTGGGGGTATACGTATGTATTTTAAAGATTTATTTTTATTTATTTATGCATACATAAACTGGGATGTAGGCCAGAGGTACATGGGGGTGGGAGAAGAGTAGGGTTTGTCAGAGTATTTTTGGAGGGAATGCTGGTGTGTACTGGGCTTCTGATTTTTAAATAACAATTTCAGTCCAATGACAAGACAAAGGCAAAAGAGTCATCTTAAGTTTTCCCAATCGCTGAGGAAAATACGAAAAAAGCAATTTTGACATTTACCCATGTATCAGGTTGTTACTTACAGGCAACCTGTATCACTCAGCAAGCCTACAGTAGTAAAAGGAGTGTGTAAGGATGATGCCATTTCAAGATGGCACTTGGGTGGGTCACTTACCTGGTTTTTTGTAAGTGACGGGTCCCATAGTCCTACATCCTCCCATGTAGTGTTTTTCAAATAAAAGTCATTAGGTTCAAACTGTTTAAAGTCCTAGAAAACAATGACAGAAGTTTACAAAAACACAGCAGTATCGACCCCAGTCCAGCCTTACTATCTCTTGACTAGGGGAGCTGCACGCTAAGAACCAAACTCACCAGGAACTAAATTAGAACAAATGCACTGAAAACTGGACAATGACCAAATATTTCTCTAGCGGTCAGCCAGGTTTCCAAGGAAACTGCTGGAAGTTCTAATTAAGAAACAATTCAGCCACATATTAACCAAGTACCTTTCATTAGAGCATTGTAACTCATCAGTTGCAGTGCAGTATCAGAGTGGAGTGCAAGATAGCAATGTTTGCTTATAGATGTGATTTCTGGTTCCCTAAAACAAAAAGAGTGGGGGTGGAGGTGGTAATGGGCCGGGAAGAAAACATCTAGGATTTCTGAACCCAAAAAGGAAGAAAGAAAGCTTTTCAAAGAAAGTAAGTGGTATCATATTAAATTTACACTCTTATGTAAAATTTTAATGGCCTATTTCCTCCCAGACTAGGAAGATAGAAAGTCTTAACATAAATCTCTCCTTGATCCTAAAAGATTCACAGCTCAATGTGGAAAAACCAAGTACTTGTAAACTCCAGAGTATGTAATGGGCGAAACAAATCAAATGCAGGTTAGAAAAGGTACCTCAAACATTTTCACCATTAACTCTTGTGAAGGTTATCCCAATCAGTTCAAGGTGAACAGACTGTTTCACTGGGACAGATCTACTGAACTCAAGGAGTCAGCGAGAACGTCCACACTGGCCACAGTGTACTAGAGAAGCCTTGGTCTTCATGGTATGCCTCTAGAACATTCTAGTGGGACTCAGGAAAAGAGCTTGCTGCATGAAAGGACTTGCTTTTTTAACTTTCAACTCTATCCAACTATTCATTGAGTGCCTGTTAAGTGCCCAGCACTGTGCCAGGTGCTAGGGATACAGATGGACAAGCAGCTATGGCCCCTGCCAGCTGGATTTAAAGGCTAGTGGGGAGAACATCTTTAAACATTTCTTTTCAGAGCCTTTGACCAACTAACCATTAAGACCTGTAGCAATGAGATCTGGACAAGGAGACCACTATCAGGCTACGCCACAGGGCTGTTACAAGGTTCATAGAATAAAAAGCCTAGAAAAACAGTTTGTAAACTTCAAACTGTTATACAAGGGGACGATTAAACGGTCTATGATGGGTCAAAAGGGCCTACAAATGCTCAAATCCTAAGGATAGCGACAACAAGCACCCAAACCACCATGCCTCCACAACCAGAAGGTCAACCAGAATATTCAGGCATATCAGAATGAGAAAAGGCTCTGAAGTTCCATAGACACACCCTGCCACAGGCTTAGCAGTAAGGTGCACCTGTTTCTTTACTGACTCTTCGCCTGTAAATTGGAAGAAGACTTCCTATACACACACACACCTCCCATACACCCTCTTCACCCCGCCCTTCGTTTTTTTTTTTTGTTAAGGATTTGGAATTTACAGACAGCTTTGAAGCACCAAATAAAAAGGTCTGAACTGTGTATTTCCTTGACGGTAGCTGCTTTTGCTTCAGGATGCAAAGATGAAAAAAGCCCATTTAGGGAGAAAGGAACAACTGAGGCTACTTGAAAAGCTCTGGCAAAGCTAATGCTAAGGTTAAAATTCCACCTAAGAATCAACCATCCTGGGTGCTGACTTAAGAGTAGTGATCAGAAGCTGAGTCATGTTAAAATTAAAAAATGACATGCTACTTACTTCTATATGTTCTTTACAGTATTCCAACCCAATGTCACTAAGTATTTTTTTCACAGTTTTCCGGGCTTTTCTTAAACTGCCAAGATTGTTGACAGGAAGTTGGAACATAGTTTCTATTGGAAAAAAAAATTTAAGTCAAGTCAAAACATGTACAACTTGTAGTATTCACTAATTTCACTGATGGTAGGATCACAAACCCTGGCCCATTCTGACAAAAAAAGTGAGTAAATAGCCTTATTTAGTATGCTCTGAAGACTTAAAATGGAGCAAAATATGTGCTCTGATCTCTTATATTTTTAACAGGACACTTTATTATACAGACTGAGTCTAATCTGACATAATTCTGACTAGATGCAATGTTACCAACCATATATTTAAAAATCAAGTGTGAATGCTTTTCTTCTTGCGATGTTGAACCTCTGAAACAAGAAAATGTTCGCCATTTCAGCATCATTACCACACAATTTTGAGTATCGGGAAAACAAACTTTGGGAACTGTCCCCCACACTGTTACTCTTAATGAAAAATTTCCACAAACTACTCAAACTAAGACTCTCATGATCATATAACCTGCCCCCCGCTAGCATTACACCCGGACAGGGGCATCCACTGAAGGTCATGGAGCAGATGCTGAGATGGGGAAGCTGGGGGCTCAGTGTAAGAGGTGGCAACTGCCCTAGACTTTAGGGGCCCTTTGAAAACACAGAAAGCCTTTATGTATGTAAGGGAATTGGAAAATGATTTAAGAGACCTACTACACCACAGGCACAAATGTAGGCTCACTTTCCCAAGTTGCTTAAAAACAAAGATTAAGAAAATAAAATCTGTGAAACCTGGGCACCACTGAGAATTTGTATAGCTTCCAATGTGTACATTTAAAATTCAATAGGAATTTATTTAAGAATCCAAATCCATCTCACAGGATATAAAGTAGCTGAAAAAACCAAAGCACCAGGAATTAAACCTTAAATATTAATTAATAAAGGGGGTTACTCCACAAGACCACTATCACTTGTAAAACTACGTCAACTAAGCCCAAGTGTAGCATAAGTTACCACATTTGTTATTCTAATTCAAAAAGTAACTACAAAAAAGTGGAAAAAGCTAAGAAAAAAGGTTAGAAACCTACTAAAATAAGTAACTCCTAGAGATTCTAAAGCTGGATGTTATCAGAACTTAGGTGCCTCAAAATACCCTCCATGAAGAACCAAAGTATAACTGAGAAATGCGTTTCAGTGGAAAGCACTAGCAGGCATCCTGTGCTCAGGACAGAACTCCCCTCAAGGTGTGTTCTGCTGTCCAGGAACCGGAGTATCACGTAGCTGGTGGCAGACAGAGACCACCTCTGGTATAACTTGGCATTTCAAGGGGCAACCCATTATTCCTTGTAGAAATTTTGATGCAAAAATTACTTAAAACCACCTTTTTGAAGGTTTAAAACCAGAAAAAAATTTATCAATTAATACGCCAGTTCCCACAGACCAGGTTATTTACATGTTTCAGCAACACACAAGTATTATAGACTACATCTGAACAGAGCAGACATCAAATGGATGGCAGATGCCCAAGTCTGGAAAGCGACACCTTGCTTTTATTCATTTCGTCAGCTCTCTGTGGGCCCAAGTCCAGTACTTTCGGAACTTCTCTTGCTAATTCTGCTTTACTTCAGAGCAGAGCTGTGCCAATGAGGCAGCCATTACTGTTTTCACTGCCCCCTGGACAAGCAACTGAACATCTCAGCAAAACAAATGTACCAAGATTTGGAAATGTTAACCATCACTGAAGTCACCAGTCTATACTGAATACATCCCAAGGGAGCTAAATTGTAATTCAGAATAAAAACCTGTTCTCCTATAGAAAACGCCAGGAATTCCAAGTGTCCACCCACAGCTAACAGTCACTTTAAGATCTTTAATAAGTGATGTACCTCACTGCATGGTATCCAATTTACTGACCTCCAGGTTCCACAAAAAAAGGATGTTCACAAAGGAGCTTAGTTACAAGAAACTTTTTTTTTTTTTAAAAAGTGACATTTCATATTCCTTTCTCATGGTTTTACAAACTAGCTTTATGTTGTGAGTCTCAGATATCTACTTCCCATGCCATAGACATAAAGTAAACTAGTGATTTCTGGGGGCTGAGAGAGTAGAAATAAGGAGTGTTGGTAATGGGTATGAATTTCATGTTTGGATGATACAGGTCTAATACTAGCTCATGGTAATGGTTGTGTAAATATGACTATGCTAAAAACTACTGAATTATACACTTAAAAACAGTGGGGGGAAAAAGTGACATTTCTGTCACAGAATGAATCTGGAGTTTACTTATTTAGGCTGAATTAAGCAATTTATAAATAAAACAGTGACACTGTTTATTGGAAAATGTACCCCAAAAAAGGTTCTTTTATGATTGAGGACTTTAGCCCAAGTCAAAATTCATATAGAAAAATATAGAATTATGAGTTAAAATTGAAATTTTCCTCACAGACATACCTAACATTTGTAATAATCTTGGGAATTCTGCCATATGTCCCCCTTCCCTTAGATGGAAGTGACCTCCACGTACTTATATTACAGAGGTCATTTCCAAGTTTTGTCCATTTGGACCTAAAATAACACGTTCAAATGTGCTAGCATCCTCAAAAGCATATGCAAAGATCTTTCTAATCTTCTGCTTCAAACAGGCACACACTACTACTGTTAGTAGAAATAATAAAGGCTCCCTCCTGGCTGCTATCCTCCAGCCCTGCAGCCCCCCCACCCAGAAGCGGCCATTGTTATAATTTCTTGGGTATACTTGAGCTTTTCTATGACGAGCTAGGCAAAAGTTCCCCGAAAAAGCCTTCAATAAACAATGTTACAATTCTTATGGGTACGGTCCCTGTGGTTTTTTTAGCTGCTTGTTAAAAACTGTAAGCTCTTTTCTCGCTTCTCAGTAGGAAAAGAGCTTAACCCAAAATACTCCCATGTATTAAGAAGAGGCCTTACAATAATGTCAAGAAATATTCTAGAGATTGGAAAGAATGGGGAGAGATGGCTTTTCTTTCCAGATTCGTTCCTGTGTGACTAGCCTTCCTCTAGGACCGCCTCCACGGCTGTCAGAATGGCATCTGAACAAGGTCAGCACCATTAGCCCAGTTCAAGGAGAGACCTCTTTGGCCAAATCACGCATAAAAAGAGAAAATGTCAAAATTAATTGAACATACTTGTTGGTCATTTTCATGGCATCTACACTTTACCAGTTAATGTGCTAAGAACAGTCGAGTAAGACATAGTCTCCTCCTTTCTGACCCACGCTTGCTTCCACGAGACCTAGAGCATGCGCACAGCAGATACCGGGTGACTGGAATAAAGACCTTTGTCTTTTTTGCCCACTCATCTTCCTCTTGGAACTGGTCCCTGACTCAACTCATGTTCTCACTTCGGAGCCCTTTCTACACTAGAGCAAGATGTATATAATTCAAGCCAACACTCAAGTCAGTCACCTAGGATAGTCCACCTCTGCTGACACTGATGAGAAGACAGGAGCTCCCAAACAAGGCTGAGGAGGATCAGAGGAAGAGTCTGGATCTGCACTATCTGGAGAAAGCAGACATAGGGAAGATTCCTACTGAAAATGCTCAAGGTACTCTCAATCCAGCTGTGCCCCCAACGACCTACACTCTCACTCCACCCCACCTTTTCAGAAAACAATTATTTGCTCTTATTCCACTAAGCTTAGGCTAATGTCATTTGCAACCAAAAGTCACAGAAGATAACTAAGAGGGAAACTGAGGAATCTTACACAAAATAATTATACTTGTAAAATGGGCCTAATAGTAACAATAGTTTGGCTGGGAAGGTAGAGTTATTCTGAAAGACACTTTTGGCCCCTGCCTTCAGTAATCAAAACCAAAAACACTTCCAAACACTGTATGAAGAAAAACACTTTCTAAATCCTAGAAGAAATTGGGGAAAGCTCAACGATAGCATCACATTTGCCAAGTGTTTTATTAACAGTGAATACAAGCAGCTTTTGCACAGACTTATGATAGCTGATAAGCTACTTTCTTCTTTTGAGGATGATTTAAATTCATTGTTGAGTGATTCAGTGCCCCGCCTTCCTATTGATCTTTGTAAATTATATCCTCACCTACTGACTGGGGCCCAAACATTAACGTTTCACCAATCTTGGCCAAACTCCTACTCATGTGCTTTCTTAGAAATCAAGAGTCAGATGGCGGAAATGAAAACCTGGTATCAGTAGCCCTAGGTTATTACACATGAATTAAAACCCCAAAAAATACTGAGACCCATCACACACATCATTCCACCCTCCAAATACCAAAGGTGAAAGTATTCCTTTGCTCCAAGTACCGAGAGAGTAAATAAAGGCAGAGTGACCTTGTTTCATGTGGCAAATATAGCCAGGCAGGATTTGTACAAGGAAAGGATGATAGAACATTAACGATTGTGAACTTAACCAGAGGTCATTAACTGAGAAATACAACTGTGATCATTTATGAACCAACAGCTTTGCCAAAGGCCTGGACTTAGACAAATGATGTACCAGGCTCCTCAGGGCCAGCAAGCAGAGGGGACCTAAGCGATGACTGCTCGTGTAGCAGGCTCACAGCAAGGCAAGGTTCGTGGGAGCAGACACAAGTTACCAGGGCTTGTCTACATATAGCCATCCCTCTGCAAAGCTTCCAGGTTAAGGAAGCATCATTAAGTCTATTTTAAGGAGAGTAGAAAGCAGAAAAGCATTTGCTACTGTACGTTCAGAATGAAAAACAAAACAGAAAGAAACATAAAACAGGCAGATAAGACAGGTTTTCAAACTAAGTTTTATGTTAAGTTTGCTGTTTTCCAATATATAAAATTCTCCCCATTTTTATGTTTTTTCCCAAGTTCCTACTGTCAGAAAATATAGAAATGGGGTCATGGGTCCTAGTTTCCATCACTTTCTAATACGGGGAAACCACTAACTGAACGTGTACAGAGTGACAACACAGCAGTTTACTAATGAATTTAAATCTCCAATTTCCCTAAGAAAAATGCTTCTACCACTGACTGAGAGCTGAACAAGGCTAGCTGCTCAGTCCTGGCAGTGCCTAGACATAGGCTATCTGGTT